ATATATATATATATTTGGAGACAAGGTCTTGCTCTGTCACCTGGGTAAAGTGCAGTGGCATCAACACAGCTCACTGCAACCTCAAACTCCTGGGCTCAAGCGATCCTCCTGCCTCAGCCTCCCCAGTAACCAAGACTACAGGTTTGTGCCACCACACCTGGCTGATTTTTCTATTTTTAGTAGAGATAGGGTCTCACTCTTGCTCAGGCTGGTCTCAAACTCCTGAGCTCAAGGGATCCTCCCGCCTCAGCCTCCCAGAGTGCTAGGATTACAGGCCTGAGCCACCACTCCTGGCCAATATATATATTTTTAAATGATGTTCACCCTTCCCAGGACAAGAAAAAACTACAGAGAAGCAGAAGTTGTAATGAAGATATAGGTAAATGTTAGGCTCCTTTAGAAGAACAATCCAATAATTGTGGCCAAGGGGGACAGTCCACGGAAGCTCATTTAGAAGTTAGATACAGCAGTTAAGAGACCTGGATGACAGCAATGATGACAATAAGAACCACAAGAGATGCAATGCCTTGATCTCTTCCTAGGTGCCAGGGAGCATGCCGAGAACTTTACGCTGATTGTCTTACTTAATGGCTGGCACTATCATTATTTCTACAGAAGAGAAAACTGTGTCTCACACAGATGAAGCGACTTGCCCCCTTGTACTTGGCAAGTAGGTTGCACAGCCAGGTCTCCTCCAAAGTCTACCTGAGTTCAGAGCCCCTGTCCCTTGCCATTTGCCACCTTGAGGGTCTGAGATGTTACCTACGTTGCCCGAGGTGGAGTCGGGATTGAAACTCAGGTCTGTCTTCAGAGCCTGTGCAGTCCCCTCGCCATGGTCTGCCCCCCATAAAGACAAAGCAAGGTTGTCAATCTGAACAAGCTCAGAAAAGGTTACAGCCCTTGGCACAGGCAGGCATTTGATGCCCCCTCCCCAAAGAAGCACAGGCCCATTCCTCAGAAGGGCAGCTGGGCAGGCGAGAGCAGGTGACGCAAGGGGAAGCTTGTTGCCTCAGGCTGGCGCCTTTCCTCTTCCCCAGGCCTCAGTGATTTCCCAACACTCATGAGTTTCACATCTCCCGTCGCTGGCTGGAGGGTTCCCGAAGCTCCAGGAGCAGGGCCAATGAGCCCCCAAGACAGGCTCAGGAGACCAGAAGGATCAGGCCTGTGCAGGCCAGGTCACTTGGGTCAGCCTCTGGTCCCTCACCTGTAAAATGGGGCACCTCGGGGTACAGCCATGGCAGCGGGGATGCCATGAGGATGAACTCCAGGGCTAGTTCAGTTTGACTGAGAGCATCAGTCTATTGGCCTCAAGCATGAAGCAGAGCAGAGGGTCGAATCAGGTAAGGCGCAGTGATTTAAAGCAGTGACCAACCTGCAGTGGGGAGACCCTCGCCCATCTCTCTCCCTCCCCAAACCAGGTGGAGAAACACAGAACTTACAAAAGAGAAAATTAAAAGGTTGGCAGAGGCCCTCTTAGACTTTATGATGCCTATCTCGAGGTTAGGAAAAGGGCAAACGGTCTCTGAGCACGATGAGAGCCGCATTGTGCTAGTACACAGGGATAGGGCCCGAGGAATAGGAATCTTAATTGCACAGTGGAAGCTGTGAGCAAGACAACAATCCTTGCAGGGAGCGCTATGTCAGGTTGCTAGAGCTTAGGAACAAAAAGCAGATGTGGGGGCAGCAAACTTCAGCCCAGAGTGGAGGATCAACCCCCTCTCCTCCCCTCCCTTACCCACCACGTCCAGACGTGACTCTCCCTCCGGGTCCCTCTAACCCACAGCAGAATCGGGTGGGGAAGTAACTGCCTTTCTTCACAGTAATTCCAGAGGTGAGAAAAATACACAGTTCATTGGAAGAGAGACTTGGGAGTTGCGCCTTCTGTGTGTGGGGCGTGGGAAGGGGCCTGGGAGTTGTTGCTTAGGGACAGGGAGAATGAAAAGTAGGGACTTTACAGACGAGAACGTGTCGGCTTTCCTAGGAGAGGAACCTAGGAAGTTAGCAGGTGGGTGGGAGGAAGTGCTTATTTGGATTTGACTTGGACAGAGGCTCTGGACTAAGGGAGAGGTGCAAGGTGGTGGCATGTGGCCCAGACAGGACACCGACGTGGGATGCTGCCGGGAATCAAGAGGATGCCCTGACACGCGTCCACCCAGCCTCACTGCCACCAACGTGTTACGGCTCGGATGTATCACTGGAGGCTGAGATAAATCGCTACTGGAACTTTCTGGAGGGCCTGCGTGGGTTTGCCTGTTGGGGGAACAAAGGCTGCAGTGCTCATCCCCGTAGGGAGGGGGCAGTTTTCCCGCCTTTCTCAGAGGCAGGCCGCGGCAGCACTGTCCCCTCCGTGACTGGGGTCCTTCTGGGTGACACATTGCTCTGCCCACACTGGGGGAGCGAGTCCCGACCGCCCCCTGGACGGGGGCCCTGCGACCCCACAGTAGCCCTTCTCCACACCGCACTGCGCTTGACGGCCACCGCGGCGCCCCTCCCCTCACGGTCCCACCGCCCCCGTCCCCATCCTGGGATATCGCGGGAGGAAAACATGAAGCAGCCGCTCGGTGCGAGGCGACGAGGAGCAATATTTTCCACTTCCTCACAGCCAACAGTTTCATTCTTTTAAAAAAAACGTTTCATCCCCCTTTCTCTGTCTCCCTTGCCCTGCCGTTGGAGCCGCGGGCCTTTGAAGCCCGAAGGTGGGCGGAGGAAGCGCTTATTTGGACTTCCTGCCAACCTCCCCCCCGCGCCCGCCGACCGAACCCCGGAAAGCTGGAAAGGGAAACTCCCGGCCAGGGCGGGCGGCTGGGGCAGGGGGCAGGAGAGGAAGCGGGCTTCTCCGCCCGCCGCCTTGCTCCTCAGGCAGGCGGGATGAGGGCAGAGTTGGGGGAAAGGGGGGGTGCAAGCCAAGAAAGGCAATCTTACCCCAGCCAGGGGAAGGCAAATGTGAGCCATCCAGCGGCTTCCACTAGGAAGAGCCGTGGGCCCTGGAAGTACGCACTTGTCCCTGGGACAAAGCGCAGATTTGAGAACAGCAGGGGTTAGAGGTTAGGCGT